TCTCTATCTGGTATCCATTTTAGATACTGAATACCAGCCCTCCATTTGCAGACACACCCAGAGAGCTGCGGTGGCTTTCAGTCTGTGTGGGCTCACCGGATAATTGATTGCTTGTAAATGTCACCTAAATCCTCAGGGAACTAATGCAAACAAAGGGAGACAGCACAACAGTAAAAAGGTTATTTGGCCAAAGAGCAGATTTCATTAACTTTGAGAAAAGATTTGAAAAAAATCTTCGTTCTAAACAGATTCCACGGATGATTTATTCAATGAATGCAAAGAAGAAGAAGGAGAAGGTGGAGATTGTTGGTGCAGCAGGTGCAGACTACTGGGTGGATGTTTCTCGACCTCAAAGGGTGAAAAGCTGCATTATGACATTTTTGTGAGCATGTAATATTCAGTGTGTAGACTACCTTTCAGTTCCTGTCTAAAGAAAACATATCAAAAGGATGTCGCTGTAGAAACCACAAGCCAGTCTGAATATTTGGATCTGGTGAATTCATTTTAAAGTGAGTTCTTCCAACCACACACACCTCTGTTGCTGCATCATTGTTTCGTTCTCTGTCAGACATGATAAACGTCAGGGTTCCCACACATCCGGGAATACCTGGAAATTGATTAAAATGACCAAATATCCTGGAAATAATCCATGTTGTCTTGGAAAACTTGCTCCCTTTTCATTTCTGCTCCCTTGTCAGTCAAAAGCTTTTGGTGTCATCTCGTTTTTAGAAATGTTGTAGCTGGGACATTAATGATCCAATCTTAATCTATTGTTGCAGTTGATAAATATATGAGTTTTAATTGTAACACTTCATATTAATTGGCACAGGCGAGAGGATGAATTGTCTGTAAAATAAAATTCTACTTCATTTGAACTGTTATTTATGGGCTGTGACCAAATTAATGTTGCAGGAAAACTGTAGTCAGTTTGCCCGAGACAGCAGCTCCGCTCCACTGAGCCCGAGACTGAGACCACATCGGCTTCTGTGAGAACAGCCGAGTGTCCCATAAACACTGTGAGCAAGTGCTGACCTGTAATTGTCAAAAACTCCTGGAAAAGATCTGGAAAAAGATTTCTTAAAAAGAGTGGATTAGCTTGTCTTAGTACTTTGAAGAATGATTTGTTTGTAAAATGCACAAGAGGAGGAAAAATTGTTTGGTAGCAGTTTGTGATGCAGTTTTTTTTTGTGTGCATATTTGTAAAAAGATACACACATAAATACAGAAGGCATTCACGTATAAATGGGTTGTCAATTGTAATTTTGATATAAACTGATCAACAACAGATAAAATACATTCTTAAAATAAATAAACCAACACCAGTGTGAAAAATCAAACATGATTTGGGAAAATAAATCCTGAAAATGAACCCTTCAAATCATTTCAAGGTTGACAAAAACATATACAAATACAGGTACATACAATAAGAAAAAGAATGAATAACTGCATTAAAATAGTGCAGTTAAATGTATGAGTATAATTCCCTCTTTAAAGACATCATAGCTGAGTGGGTCATCTTTCTTTTTTCAGAAAATGAGATGTTAATGATTAAAACTCAAAATTCAGTTAGAGATGGGACATATTCGACATTATTGCGTATTGCGATGAGAAAAACACGGTATATCGTGGTGAATTTGGTGAATATCCTTACATGAGTGACTGTCTTGCTCATTAACATAAAGTCCGGTATGGATTTCTTGATTTATTTTTGAGTTGACACACCCATATCTTTCCAAAATAAGCCTGTCCTGTCGCAATGGCTTAAGGCCGGGCTTTCCCATTGTATCCTCCACAAAGAAAGGAGAACCGGATGTGTGTAAATACCACAAATTCCAAACTAAAGAATGGCAGGAAGATAAGGTGCCTATCTGAGGTGACAAATGCCTGATGTCTAAATACAGGAAAAACACATTCTACTAACTCATATGTTTCTTTTATTTCTTTTTTACATCATAATAATAACGTTCTATGAGCACTAATGCCTACTGTATGTCAAAATGTAGTTATAACGCCTTCATTATTTCGGTTCTCTCCTTACATGTTGCATATTCCTAAATTAATTTGTTTGATCAAATGACCAAACTACAGACCTGAGACCCGCTGGTACTGCTCTTCGGACAGAGGGTGGTAGAACTGGGGGAGTTAATGATGATCACAAGCTTTGACATTCTTCCCTCAGTGGATTCCCTGTCAAACATGATGACCTTTTTCAGCTAACGTGGCAGAGGTGAATAATGCTGTTTCTCCCTCCACCTCGTTCGTTCTTTTCATCCATCAGAACACCTGCTCGTGTATTATCGCTCACTTAAAAGGCATCATGATTCATCTCATGGCTCACTGGTTCGAGTCAAGGCTTAAACAGGGATTGTTCCAGGCGGATGTTTGTCAAGAAAATGAATGTGAAATTGTCACACGCTGTGCTGCCATTTCACGTCTTTCTACCCTCTTAGATGACAGTCAGATGTTGTGGTCAGTAGCTGCTGATCTCGGGCTTCAACTACTGATGCTCTGAGCTTCACATATAGGCCACATAATGTAAAAGAAATCACTGCACGTCTCAGCAGTTTCTAATCCCTCTCTTGAATAATTCCACTTTGACCTTCACATCATTTCCCATTCATGTTTCTCTCACGCCGTCTGATTGGTCCAGAGCAGCCAACACCCAACCGGCTGAAACGAACCCTGAGAAGTGCAGTCCATGCTAATATTGTGCGACCTCGCTCTGATATTGTTGTGCCAAGGGCAGTGGATCACCTGAGGCCTGTCCAGGTCTCTATACTGTCTCAAATAACAGCGGCGCATTCTGCCTCGTCAGCAGCGAGCCTGTTTATTACAGACATCAGCGCAAACAAAGACACAGTGGCCTAATTCCTACTGCTGTGACCCAGCTTGACCTGCCAGGAATTTCATATCAAGACGGGTTTAATAAACTGTGACCTTTATTGACCTCTAAATGCTGTCCAGTAAAGAACTTTACTTACTTAACTTACTTTTTATGGATTTTGACAGCTGGAAATTCCTGTTCCTGATGCCTGATGCATGCTGGGATAGAATCAAGCTCCCCATGACCCTGAAAAGGATGAGCAGTTTAGGAAATGGAGCGATGGATAGATAGAACATAATTAAATGTACCTTATATAGAATAACAAGTCCTGTAGCTTAATTTTGGAGAAACTCAACCACTCTGCAGCAGTTTAAAATATTGTTTGACTTTCAAATACCTGGATCAGTCTGCTTATTGGAAACAGGAAGCTTACAGGATAATGCCTATACATTCATTCTACTAATAAATGACCCTTTTATCAGGTTTGTAGTGGTGATATTTCCTTGGTAATATGTCAACAAATAGTAAACCTGTCCTTTAATCATCAGACATTTTGTGCTGTGCTGTTATTTATATCGCTGATAGAGCAGGTCGCCCTCTAATCACAGGGTTCATGCTGTGTTGAAGTGTCTTTGAGCAAGGCACTGAAGCACAAGTTGCTCCTGATGGTCAGCACCTTGCACTGTAGCTTTGTGTGTGTGTGAATAGATTTAAACTCCCTCGCTTCACCTTCCCATTTCAAGCCCGAAAGAGAAACTACGGTGGCCACAAAATGCAAACTAGAAAGGCCCTATCTACAGCCCGTGTTTGGTTTGTCTGTTCTGAGCTACTGTAGAAACATGGCGGCCTTCGTGGAAGATGACCCACGGTGTTCAGGTGATTATACACTAATGACAACATACCTATGAATGTTATATTCAATTTCTATCCAAAGATACTCCTAAACGTTACATACTGGACCTTTAATTTGACTTTTAACCCAAACGTTTTAGTCCTACCTTCCCTCTGAGAATTATCATCGTCTTATTTTTATTTTTATCTGGAGTCTTCCTCAGGAGAGATTGGTTGTGGTTTCTGTCCATTTTCCCACAATGAACCGGCCCAGTCAGCAGAATAACTGGATTGCACCAACTTTGGGTATTTTTGTTCTGGTGGTTGATGTTGAGAACTTTTACTTTCTTTTGGGTTTGCTTTATTACGTGACAGCTGAGGATAGACGGGGGGGTGACACGCAGCAAAGGGCCACAGGTCGGATTCGAACTCTGGGCTGCTGCAGCAAGGACTCAGCCTCGGTACTTGGGTCAGCAGCTCTACCCACTGAGCTAACCAGGCGCCCTTTAGAAGAACTTTTTTCTCACTTTGATAGTGATAATGAAATGAAAAAATGATAAGAAATAAACAAATTCATAAAGGAATAATGAAAAATCTGATCATTTAAAACTATTTTAAAATAGGTTTGATATTGTTATGACATCTCAGTATAAATGTCAGTGTTCTTCTCATTATTATGGATCAGTTTATAGGCTTTATAGAACTATTAAGTTCATTTAAGAAAAAGAAAAATAGTTTTGACTTGACAGAGGACTCTGATCAGTGTGTATTAATCTGATTTATAAATGATATGATACCTCTTATGCTGGCTCGATGAGGGTCAGATGATCGCCATGACCACAGCGACTGCTCCTTTTATACTGATTTCATTACAGAGATGAATCGAGAGTATTATGGGGGCCGGCTCAGAGCTGGTGGACGGCTTCAAAACTGAATTTCATTTGCATTTAGCTGACCATGTTCAAGAAAGAAAAGCAGTCATAAAAACAATTAGAGCAACAGATCACATAACTGACACTTAGTGTGCAGGGCCTCTAAACTTTTATACAAATATACAGTCTATCCCCTAAATGTTATGTATTCATGTTGGTTTTAAAGTCATATTTGTTGGTTTTAATGTCATTTTTTAGGATTTCTTATTTTTATAAATGTATGTTTACATGGATCAGATGAAGAGCCGATGTCATGGCAGTGGTAGTGATTTCAGTTTAGACATGATGAGTAATCTTGTGTGGCTCCATGTGTACTTATGTGTCACCGTCTGATACCTGATGTTATTGTTTATGCTAATGTGTGCTGCATCACTGACCTGTCTGACGTCAGCATCGCAGTTTAATTGCATCTGTATGCCGCCTGCCATTACTGGAAATGTGATTATGAGCTCAGATTTCATATTTATTATGTCTCTCTCTCTCTGTCTCCTTCCTCCACATCCTCCTTTTATTTTCACATTCATCTACATTTTCTGCTGCTTCTTCTCCATTCTTCTTCTCATGACAACACTTTCTCCCCCCCCTCACAGGAAGGTAATCAGGTAACAGGCTATCTCCTGTTCTCTCTGGGCACCGCTGTCATCGGCTCTCTGCAGTTCGGTTACAACACAGGAGTCATCAATGCGCCAGAGCAGGTTGGTTGAGCTGCAAACAGTTTGCACCTTAATGTCTCTGATGTGAGCAACAGGTAATCGTTATGGTACATATCTGCAAATCCTGTTATGTAAAGCCACAGATCCCAGCTGGTGTCTGACATCAGAACAAACCAAACAGGAGAGGAAAGCTCTTGATTGCTCACTCACTGCTGTTAGTTTGAATGTTGCTCTTATCTCTTGGTCCCTAGGTGCCAGCTTTACTTTACACCAATGTGTCTCAGTTAGTTCAGATAGGAGAATTGTCTCTGTTGGAGGACTGCTGTAAGATCCAGGCAGATACGATGAGTGGATTTAAACATGAAACTGTTAACCCTGTGCAGCTTTAAATTTGATTATTTGAGTTCAAACAGGTGAAGCTTTCCATAACTACCCTCAAATCAAGCTACGACATTTTTTTGTTGCTAATTTGGCAACAGCATAAAGTGAAATATACCAACTACTGCGTACATTTCAGATAATTAAACATCATATCTGTCCACTAGGAATGGATTAGTTAGCTTAGCATAAGGACTAGAAGCAGGGAAACTCTTGACTATTCTCTGAAAGAAAGCAAATGTGTTTTTCCCAAAATGTTGAACTATTCCTTTAACTGGCCATTATAGCAGTGCAGTCTTTACACATTCAAGATTTTATTTTTGAGATTTTCCTTCTCTTCCATTCATCTATTTATTTTTCTGTCCTTGCCATCAGAAACTACGATCTTTCTTCAACGCTACCTGGGTTGAGCGTTATGGCCAGGAAATCAGCCCGGGGGTGTGTACCATCGTCTGGAGCGTCGCCGTCTCCATCTTTAGCGTTGGCGGCATGGTTGGCTCCTTCAGCGTGGGAGTCATGGCAAACCGATTTGGCAGGTAGGAATATAGTATAACCAGCTGAGGTGTTTTTTCTTTAATGAGAAGCTAATCACTCACATTGTATCCGTATAATGCACAGGTACAAATGACAATCTGAATTTCAAGTATTTCTTTTGCTGTGAGTTTTGTGCTTTTCCTTTAATGGCTCTGAGTATTTCCTGTGTGGTTCAGCTGAACTGTCACAAGCCATTACTGCTAATGGAGGACATGAAGCGTGTCTGACTTGAGTCCAGTGCTCGGCTCTAATGTTCCCCAGAGTTGTTCCTTCAGTCCTCCATTTGCCTCTGTGAAGCAAACCCTCTTTCTTTCTGCATCAACACTGTTGTTTTAAACCACTGCCATAAATATTTTTTCCATGTACCGTGAAAGAAAGTCGCACTTCACAGTGGAAACTACGAAATTGTCAACATAGTCAGATTAATAAAAATCTGGGTAAAATACACTTCTCTCCAAGAGTAAGATGAAAGGTTTGATGCCACTCTCGTGTTGTATGAGGTACTCATCCATAGTCAGGGTATTACCTACAGCAGATGCTACGCAATGCACTGCTGTGCAACAAAACACATTTTAGCCGCCTAAAAAAAGGCCCACTTAAAAAAATCAATATCAGGTTAAGTGTACGCTATATTTAGAATATTTTAACCACTTGGCCTTGCAGTCAGCCAGCCCAGAAGCTGTAATAGCCATCCACGCTCTTTTCAAAGCCACCAGAGTAGATGTATTCTTATCTAATTCTCAAATAGGGAGCGAATAGAAGTATTGCCCAAAATGTTGAAGGATTCCTTTAAATAGAGATTTAAATGTAGCTAATAAAATCCTAGACTCACAAAAGAACAAAATTAAGAAATAGATTTCCTGATATTCTGACACACGAGGCCATGCACTCTAAACACACTGTTTGCAGTGTAAACACCCGTCTGTCAATAAACTCATTAGACAGGAAAGCTCCTGACCTTCCTATACGCTCAGGCAGGTCAATCAGTCCTGACACACTTATGGTAATTCCTCAGTTAATCAATGAACTTGTCGATTTTGGTTTTCTTTAACCATAAACCTCTCAGCTGCTCTCCCCATCACCAACCTCCTTTCCTCTTGTCTCAGTAAATATAACAACACTAAAGCCAATTACTAATCTACTAAAATATTGGCATGTGTTATGTTTAGAAACACTGTACAATCACATGTTCTCTTTCCTTACCCTCCTCCTCCTCAGGCGTCGCTCCATGTTCCTGGTCAACTGTCTGGCGGTGATCGGCGGCCTCCTCATGGGCTTCTCCACCATCTGCTCCTCCTATGAGATGGTGATCGCCGGTCGCCTGGTCATCGGCCTGTTCTGCGGTCTCTTTACCGGCCTGACTCCCATGTACGTGGGCGAGGTGTCGCCCACTCCCCTCCGAGGAGCCTTTGGCACTCTTCACCAGCTCGGTGTGGTGGTCGGCATCCTGATCGCTCAGGTCAGCAGGAGGCTTCCTAACAAACCTCAGATTTAATGAAACAACAGCTGATTTATGAGCCATAAATCTTACTGAAAGAAGATCTTACTGTGTAATATAGTTAGGTACAGTACTGATTTGCTGTAAATCTGACTCAGCTGTTGTGGCCCTGTGTGTTTAGATCTTTGGTTTGGAGGCTCTGCTGGGCTCAGACAAGCTGTGGCCCCTGCTGCTGTCCCTCACTGTGGCCCCTGCTGTGCTGCAGTGCATCCTGCTGCCCTTCTGTCCTGAGAGCCCTCGCTTCCTGCTCATCAACCTCAAACAGGAGGAGCAGGCACGCAAAGGTACTGTGGTGGCAGTTTGTTTAATAAAGCAATCAGAGATCTGATCTAGTCTTTCTGTAAGGTTTATTCAGCATCTATAGATGAACTCACAGCAACACTCACAGCCATTCCTGCTGCTATTACTGCTACAACTCTGGACAGTACTACTGCTTCTACAGCTACTACTGGTATCCATTCTGCCAGTACTACTAATGTACAACTACAGATACCTCTACTACAGTCACTACTGGTACTGCTGCTACCTGTACTACTACAGCTAACACTACTGCTGCTTCTAGTGTTTTTTGTGCTACTGCAACAACAGTTGTATACTGGCTGTACTGTTACTGGAGGACTGCTAACACCACTGCAACTACGGGCACCATAACTACCACTACGAATATTACTACAGTCACAACTGTCACAACTTCTACTAACACTACCTGCTGCTTTACTACAGCGACTAATGTCTTTTTTACTACAGTGCCACTCCAGCCACTGCACCAGGCGATGCTTTTACTGTCACCAATAATACTAATTCTGCTAATGCACTACTGCTGCTACTGGGTGTCGCGATGTTCCGATATTGACAATATCCTTAAAGTTTTAAAAGTGAAATATTGATATTGCGTAAGTAATCCAGTGCCTCTTAAATCATGTTCTGTTCTGTGCTTTATCGTTCCCACCCCAACACCATAGGTGGCAGCAATTAAGTGAAAGTTATTATTTTTATTTTTTTCAATAATATTGATTGCAATAATATTATTATTGTGAATTCTTTTGGCTACAATAATCATGTTGTAAAATAACTGACACTTTACAAATAACTTTTGCAAACTCAGCTTCAGTTACTACTCATACTGCTTCTGCTTCTGCTACTGTCACTACTACTACCACAGCTTATACGGTAATAACTTTTATTTTAACTACTGCCTCTATCACTACTACAACTACCAATATTTCTTTCTTTATTTCTTTTTTTACTACTACAAATAATAATACTACGGCCAATTCAAACACTGCTGCTCTTCTGCTGATACTTCTGCTACGACTATTGCTATTTCTGGTTCTTGGAAGACTATTACTTCTACTGATATAACTGGATTGACCATTGCTACTGCTGCAACCATTACTGGTGCTCCTTCAGTTATGTAGGTTTCCATAGCTACGGCCATAGAGATTCATTGTGACATTAAAAAAAAGTAAGACAGAGGAGAGAGAAGGAAGGAGGAAGAGAAACTGGGAAATGGGAAATAGAGATGCTGAGAGAAAGGGCGCAGGTGAAAGTGAGAACAAGAAGAAGAGAAAGATCAAGGAGAAAGAAAGAAAATGAGACAAATGTGTAGTACAGATACACAGGGGTGAGATCAGGTGAGTCAGGGTGAGGTTTTAGCCTGGAGAGAAGAGTCCTTGAACAGACAGAAGGTTTTGGCATCTGTTCAACACGGAGCCTGTCAGAGGTGACTCTGAGGCACTGACCCACTTCTCCTTCACACCTCTCATTTGACATGAACAAAAACAAACACGAGGCTCAGGCTCCACAGTTAGAGTTGCACCATAGTTTCTGTGACTGTGTGATGTTTGCAGTGTTCACAGCTTACAGATAAAGAACCTGCTCTGACTCTTCATTTAGTTTCAAGCAACAGATGAACCAAAAAAAAGCAACTAACAGGTCTGTCTGAACAGATTGTGGATGTGTGGAGGACTGCAGACTTTTTGGATAATACTGAAATAGTTATTATTCAATAATATTATAAAACCTAAAGCCACTTTGTGTCTGATTTTTATGTTATTATAGCATCTTTAAATTACTCTGATGGCATACGTTTTTGTTTGTCGAGAGATGAGACAATCCCGCTAAAAACCGGTGTTGTCTGTGTGCTTTTATCTAATTCATGTCACTGTTCTCGGGTCAGATCCGTGGAGGTGAAAGGGGGAGGATGAAAGAGGGGTGCATGCATGTCGTCCACGTTGTCTTCTCTGATACTACCACTGGAGGGTGCCACAGTTTGGGATTTTCAAACACTACTCTTGTGCCTTTTTTCTGTCTTTAATGGGTGGTATCCAGTGGAGAGCTGTGAAGAAGTAAGGGGAGAGAGAGATGCAAACAAGGGTTGTACTCAAACCAAATTAAATGATTGACAGGCCATTTCATATTCTGAAAGGTTAAAGCTAAAGGTTTGTCAATCAGAACTATTTGTAAAGACACAGACAGATTTTAACTCAATGTCTTCTTGTTGCTACTTTAAAGCCAAAATGGCGTGGAGTGGACCTTGTCTTTTCAAACTATTTCCAAGATCGAGGATTACAATACAACTTCAGTTCATATTTTAAATGAACATTTATTGGATTTTTTTTTGTTGTCTGATTACTGTTGCAGCTTGTGCTTTACACCAATGTGTTAGCACATTGACTCAGCATGAACCTGTCAGCACAACAGAGCACTTTGTTTTTATTTTTTCCCTGCCTTTATGTTTGTGTGCAACCAGCAACAACAAAAACAAAGACACAAATGTGTTTCCGTTCACAGCACTGGTGCGCCTGCGTGGCAGTGAGGATGTGAGTAAAGACCTGCAGGAGATGAAGGAGGAGAGCGCCAAGATGGCCATGGAGAAGAAGGTGACCATCCCCGAGCTTTTCCGCTCGGCGGCGTATCAACAGCCCCTCCTCATCGCCGTCATGCTGCAGCTCTCCCAGCAGCTGTCAGGGATCAACGCTGTGAGTCAGCAACAGGCAGCATGTCCACACACACACACACATACACACACATATACACATACACACACATACACAGAGGGCTGCATATGAATACACACTTTTACAGAAAGAGATTTTTTTACTCTTTGCTTAGATCCCTGTTTGTTGTTACCCTGGCAACATCTACTCTGTGGTCTATATTAAAAAAAACATACATATAATATTAAAGTTGTTGCAATAATCTCACCTAATAATATAGTATCACTACAACACATACAACTAAATAAAATACAAACATACTACATTGAAACCTTTGTAACTTCCACCACTGAATAACATTTTTGTTGTTATATTTGAATGATCATACTGCAGACAAAAGTTAAAGAATCCTTATTTTGCTCTTTGTATTTAAAGTAACCTCTTTGTTGCTTCTTACAACAGTTTGTCCTAGATTCATGAGATATAAAGTGTGGCAGACTATTCCAATGAGACATGGCTCTCTATACATAATTGTATAACCAGGGGTAAAACTGGGGGCTGTCTGGGGCCCATAGGCCTACACTCTTCTATGTCATCAGACATAGTGGGACTCGCCACCAGGAGAAATCCCCTGTGGGCCGCGGAAGCAGCCTATTTTATGATGTATAAAGTCTGCGCGCGCACACATGTGCACCCATGGCAATCCTGAAACCAAAGAGCACATAACAAATCCCAATGAATCCCCTGTGTATAGCACAGATAATACAGAGTATACAGAGACACACACACACACACACACACACACACACACACACACACACTCTCTCTTCAGTGAGAGAACAAAAGGACACTTTGTAAATACTTTGTCCAGCTGGGTCACTGATGAGGCAAATGTCAGCTACGTCCTCCAAGTATGAGTCAGGGATGGATTACAGTTTGGTTCATTGTAGGTGACCGTGATTATATGATTGGACCTTCTGTAAGTTACAGTGTCATGTACAGGAAATACTTCCAGTAAAAACGTTGGTACTTGACGGGAAATTGTCTTTAGACTGACTTAGAATCAAATATAGACAGGCATTAGCATAATTCTCCATCCTCTTTTTCCATCAGGTGTTCTACTACTCGACAGGAATCTTTGAGTCAGCTGGTGTGAAAAAACCTATCTACGCCACCATCGGAGCCGGCATCGTCAACACCATCTTCACTGTTGTTTCTGTGAGTGACGTCAGAGTGTTTCTCGTCGCTCCTGCATGTGTTTGTGTTCATTGAGCAGCACATCACTCACCCCCTGTGTCTGTCCTCCAGCTCTTCCTGGTGGAGAAGGCAGGACGAAGGACTCTGCACCTCCTGGGATTGGGTGGAATGGCGATCAGCGCTGTACTTATGACCGTGTCCCTCCTTCTGGTGAGTTCAGTACTATCACAGCTCCCTCATTAGTCGGTACTCCAGAGCGTCATCAGTACAACGTGACATCAGTGTTGTGGTGTGGTTACAGGTGCAGCAGAAACTTTCAGCATCTGGCATTAAATTACTCTTTAAGCTTCTTAGAATGACGGGTTTACGTACAAATTTTCACCAAAAACAGTACTTTGCCGGAACTGTAATTGGCTTTGAACTTATCAAGCATTTATAATCAGGTAGGATTTCTGTTATACTTAAGATGACTCCAAGCAATGCACTGCTGTGGATGGAGGCTTCAGAAAAAATGATATCTATATTTTTATATCTTTGTGTGTGCTATATTTAGAATATTACCAGTGCTTAATCTTGCTGTCAGACAGACAGTCCAACAGGAAACTGAAGCCATATCGCTTTCACCAACTCCCTTGACAAACAAAAACATCATCATTTTACTTTGCAGAACAGGGGAGTTGCTGGTCTACCAGTGCCTCAATCCACAGCAAGTATTGTTAGTCGGGATCTGAACTAACATGTTAAAACACCATAGTCCCACAGTAACTCAAACAAAAACAAACTGATCGAGGCGTAGGTGGACCAGCAACTCCCGTGTTCTGCGAGGTAGAATTACTGTTTTTGTCAACAGAAGCTGGTGGCTTTGAAAAGAGTACAGATTAAAAACAAAAACATTTGAGATGGATGGATGGATCTTAAAACTCAAATAGTTCTTTTAGCTGGTCAGAATTTTCAGTCCCACAGTTATGTTTTTCACCCTAAGGTGTTAATGACCATTCAGTTAGACAGAACACAAACAGATCTTATGACTTGTCTTTATTTAAGCTTATGAATAGCCTTGATGTTCCACTAATCATTAGATAATCATTAAATAAATTCTTATATTTAGAATATCTCACTGTCTGCTGTTTCTTTCCTTTTTCTGCCTCTATCTGAGCAGAAGGACATTCCTGCTATGAGCTACATGGCTATCGTGGCTGTCATGCTATTTGTGGCTATGTTTGAGCTGGGCCCGGGTCCAATCCCATGGTTCATTGTGGCAGAGTTGTTCTCCCAGGGGCCCCGCCCGGCGGCCATGGCTGTGGCTGGCTGCTGCAATTGGACGGCCAACTTCCTGGTTGGAATGAGCTTCCCCAAACTAGAGGTAAGGGATTGTCCTGGTTTGATCTGGTCAGAACCTGTTTTGGGTTTAGTTTGAACTTCTATTCTTATCCTTATTTTAGCCTTAACTAATTTTGCTTTTGATTTCCCATACTGGAATCTTATGTGTTATATAAAAATCTTCAAATTATATCACACTAGATTTTCTTCTTTCTTGATATATTTTCTGTTTTCTTGCCTTTTTTCTCTTTCTTTCTTTCATGTTTCTTTCTGAACATGAAAAATGTCTAAAAGATTCTACCTCCCCTCTCTTGTGTCCTCAGGAGGTATGCGGGCCTTGGGTCTTCCTCATTTTCACCACCTTCCTCCTCCTGTTTTTCATCTTCACTTTCCTTAAAGTCCCGGAGACGAGGGGCAAGACCTTCGACGAGATCGCCCGCAGCTTCGGCAGTGCCCCGCCTGCCGCCTCCTCGCCTGTTGAGGAGGCTCCTGCCAGCGCCAGCACTGCTGTGAAAGCCTCACCGGTAAAGGAGAAGGTCCCGCTGGTGGAGGCGGCGGCGGCAGCAGCAGCTCCGCCCTCCGCATCTGAAAGCACGCCCCTTGAAGATAAATCAAACTCCACAGTACAGGAGAGTGTGTAGAGCAGCTGTATGTACACTTTTAATGGGTGAAGGGGGTTATAAATGAAGGAAGAATCACTGAGATTTCAAAAATGCTGTAAATTGTAGTTAATAATCACATCTTGGAACAATAGGAATTATATAATTTTATAATAGACCTACTGAGAACAACAGCGTTATCAATTTATAGGCTTTGACCTTTAAAAGGTCATGCTTTCTGCTTTCATGGTAACTCCTCCTTATTTTTCTGTGACATTTCCTACAGTTCCTTCTTTATATCCTCCTTTCCTAAACTGTAAAAGGGAAGCAGTCAATGTACAATACCACAGATTCAATCTACTGTGCATTCCTAGGAATCAAGCTACACTCGTTAAAAGGGTGAGTCTTTTTCAAGACAGCTGTGTATCTAGTCAGGATGACACTTTTCCAACACGGCAAACACATGTTGCGTTCATGGAAATTGTTACTAACAGGTGAAGATCCAGGTAATATCCATCACTGCAGACTAGAAGCAGAGCGTGTTGACAATGGCACAGCCTTTGTGCAGGTGTATCCAAACCTATTAGAGAGTTCAGGTCCATGTAGTGAGAGGGAGGTGACACGGATAGCGATGATGCACATTTGTTATAAAGTCACGTATTCCTGTTATAGTGGATATCTTAGTGCAATATAACTTTGTAACTGTAGTTAGTGATGTCTAATTATGTTCTATCCATTAATTCCTGTCATGTTTTCGGAAGTGTTCTCATGTCACAGGTCCAAGAAGGGATTTTTAAGATTGAAGCTCCGCCTTCAGCTGTTGAATTCGAGCTGACAAACCAGAGAGCTTTTTAGCAATGCCAAAGTACTGAACTTTAACTGCCACCGGGTGAACACGTGACCTCAAACAAGTGTGTTTCTTCTGATTGTTAAATTCAGGGTGGGAAATTAGCGGCAGCCACAGGTCACGCTGAGTTTAATCATTCTAAAGGGGTGGTTAAAGCTGTGATCCACAAGTTTATTAAACCACCCTCAGTGCTAACCACTCATTTTGTGGTCTTGGTCAGTTCTACATTTAGTCCAAACAAACAAAATTTCCTGTTTACCAGACAATTTTGTTTAAAAAAAAAACTGCTCATGAACTCATTATTGGTTGAATCTTTCTGCTGATATATTGACAGGCAGAATCATTTGGTGTTAAATCTTGTGGATTATTGCTTTACTGCAGGGTCTTTTGTATTGGAAAACTATAGCTGATATAACGATAACTGTGGCTCACGAAGGTTAGGACTTGCTATTGAATGTGGCTCGTGGAAAAAAACATGTTGGCTGAATTGTTTTACACATGTAGATCACAGTAGGGTAACGTGCAATGTATATTTTTTGTTGAAGAGAAAAATATTTATTACCTTAGAAATTAATTTTTGTATAGAGTATATAATTATAAAACACTAAAGCAAATTTAGAATCATAATGCTTTCCAGAAAACCCCCCTGGAATGAAGTTGAATGAGTCTGTAGTGCGCTTTACCTGCTGTGGTGGAGGAAACCGACATCACGTGAAGTGCCGCTCAGAGATTTTGAATTGATTGAGAGTCAAACACTGTAAATCTCATCTGTTGCTCTCTAATTAGATGCACTTTGTTAACCAGTTAAGCAGCAAAGCGAAGCATTAGAGCCGCAATCACTGACAGCGCTTTATTTCAAATTAACTGAATAAAATGAAACACTATATTTACCTGAGCAATTGCGTATATCGGGCCAAGCTGTTATTAGAATAGATAAGAGTTATATAAAATGTGCAATCAATAACGAGACTTCAACCGATGGAGCTGATAATAAATAGAGGCAAGGGGAAGTGCTAATACAATAAACAACGGGTAGACCAGCCGTCTGTTGTTTGATTAGAATGTCAAATCTGGTTCATTTATTTTAGTTTTTTCAATCATTTCATATTTTCACAAAGGGAGAAATGACTACTATGACTATTTAATTGTGTGTGACTTCTGTGATAATCTGAAAAAATGATTTGGATTGTGTACTGTGAGTTAAATCAAAACGGGAAGCGTCATCCCATGACTGTCAGCGTGACATTGAGTTAAAGTGGGTTCATAAAGTTAGGAGTTGGTGCATTTAAAGCACCTCCAGTTTTTAGAGTTGCTCTGGATGCAAGAATTACTACTATTCAAAGTAATTTAAAGAGAAAAAACTATGGGAGGAAGACAGAGCCGAACGGAGCTTGGCATTCTTGCTACCAACTGAATTAGCCAGTTAGCCGATTTATAGATTAGCCTATACCTGTAAGTTAGCTAGGAAGCATCATGTGTGGTCTTGAATTAAATGACAGCTTGTTTATTATTTATTTAGGAAAAGTTTTGTCTCTTTAACTTTCGTCGGTTAGCCATCTTGTGCTCCAATAACTGTAGTCCTCTGATCTAACCAATGAGATTATTTCGGGCCTCCAATGCAAAACTGGCTCTTGAAAATTGTTTAAAGAACTAAAACTACAATCTGCCTTCAAGTAGTCCTGACAGTAGTACATGAGACAGATAATCAGTGAAAATCTCAGGTTCCTCTGGCTCCTAATGACATTTACAGGAATCCACCAGACCTGAATGAAAACAACCAATCAGAGCGAAGAAAGATTCTTGATTGTCTCATTCCTAGTTTGTCAAATGCCGATGTTAGGAATCAGACTCAACAATTAACTGTCTTCAAGCCACCAACCCTAAGTGTCTTTCTATCGTTCTTGGCTCTGATTGGTTGTTTTTATTCAGGCCCGGTGGATTCTTTAATATTCCATGAGGAGCACTAGGAGGAGCCTGAGGAGCCTGATTTTTTCACAGATTATCTGTATCATGTTCAACTTTAAGAATATAATGAAAGTTTGAGCAAATTTGACACAAGGTTATTTTCATAAAACTTACCTACTGCAGCTTTAAAGCCCAAACGCACTGAATGCAACTTTTGACATTACTATTGAGTAACATATTGTTATTAGGGTTAGGCTAACTTTTCAATTCAGCCAAGAGTACTTGCATAATAAGACATAAGACATTTTAAATCGTGCTGTCATGGATGACTGCAACCTTAATGACCTTCCAACATGGAGATACCTGTTTAAATTATTAATATATTAACAATGTTTCATCCATACATGTTGTCACTGAAAATCAGACCGCTTCCGGTGTGTTTCTGGCTTTATTTGTGGGGTCCAGACGCTGTTGTGACGCTTTGTCTGTTAGCCATGTGCAGCATTTTCCACCTTTACGATTTATGTATTACAAACATTGTATAGTATGTTTGGTGTATAAGTGTGTGACACAAAGTATATTTTCTATATTCTGTGTGAATTACTGTAGTTTAAAAAGCTGAAATAACTTTCTCAACCGCAGCAATTCATGCTGCACTTTGAGAACATATTTATTTATTTAGGTATTATTTCTTTTTTGACTACCCTGGAAAAATATTTATCTTGACAAGTAATTCATTTGATTTAAACTGAAGTGGTACCTGCCTTGCTTTAAAATACTGACTGAGTTGAAACATGAAATGTGTCTCTGTGCTGACATTTTTCAGTTGTTTTGAGAGATATAACCCTGTAAGACTCATTTGATGCGATGTTAAATTGCTTGTTAAAATGAGTATTTCTTACAGCGAGAGGCTAGATTATGGTCGGAGTCATGGCTTCGTTGTGTATTGCTGTATTTGTGGATGATAGTGACGTACTGTGTTTGCACTGGGGGTAGGTATGTGCTACACTCCTCTCATGGTTGTGTTCAGTGTTGTATTTAACCTCTCCTGCAGGGTCTTGCTTCTACACCCACTAACTTCGATATGGCACTAACACTTAACTTGACCAAACCTGAGTCTAATATGGATTTAAAATGCTTTCTATTACGTTTTGTGATATCACAATCTCAAATACCTCCAAGACTTGTGCTTGTGGCTTTCCTTTTTCTCTGAGTCCTGAGGTGAAATGAAGGTGTTCCAGAGGTAAAAGTGAAGAAGCACAGTGAAAATTGTGTTAATATGAAGTTGTAAAAGCCTAAATGTTACTTTTGAACAGGAGGGATTTGCACCTTAAGAATTTCAGTTTACTGTGCAGGTTTGAGTGGTTCAATGTGATTTTGTAGGCAAAACTCCCCAGTTACAAGTAAATCAGAGATTGCAAATGAAACTCATACACTCACCGGCAGCCTCAAACTTGTCATCCTAGTAGATTAAATATTTCGAACAAGTCAAGACAAATTCAAAAAATGCCAAACTTTTTCACCAGCCATACAAACTGAACGTAAATTCTCCAGAGTTGGAGCAGACAGATAAATTCAGCGTATCACAAAAGTATGTGAAAGGATTAGAAACAAATATGTGGACCCAGGTGCACACTGCTCCTAACCCATCTGCACATGTACGAACTCAAAACCATCCACTAACTGTACAAAGATAGGAGAGTATAAGTATTCATTTGTAAATATGTATTTTTTAAAAGAGTACTATTTATATGTTAACTTGCACGGTCATACGTGTGTTGAGATGTTTTTTTCCTTTGGGGTTGCACATGTACATTTTTTTTAGAAGAGAGGAACAGATTTGCTGATTTTAGTAGAAAAGAATTAGTCTCTTGGCACATTTTGCTCCTCCTGTGTGTGAACAAGAGCCAATCACCGACTATCTCCTCTCTTTCATCTTCATCTCAAGTCTTTCTCATCACTCAATCACAGCTATGTACTTTTATCTGTGTGCCTCAACAGATTACACTCAGAGCTGTTCAAAGGTTTTTGGCCGCCACTCTGTCGTCCTTTTCTGTACTTCTGAAGGTTCCCTGCTATAATGTCGTTGCGATGGCATTTTGCTGAATATCCAAACTACTGTATAATAAACCGGCTCTGAAAGGAATCACGTCGTGTCATCGACATGCTTTGGCTGCTGTGGTCTTTGTTTTTCTATTGTTTGTTGGGTCCTGACCTGTGTGTTATAAATGTGTATATAAATGTACTGACTGTGCTGTATGTTTGAGTGTTATCATGTACTGTAAGTCTGCTATTTGTGCCTCTCTGCACCTCACACATTCACAGACTGTTACTCAATGTGTGTGTTTGTGAGAAAGCTTCCCTTCTGCTTCTCTGTGTAAGACGTGTCTCTCATTCATTCACTCAGTCACACTTAACAGGTCACTCTATCGGGTGCCGTTGTAATTTACACACCTCAAGTAATATGAAATAGTGTACACGAGACTTTTTCCAGAATTTAGACACTAATAAACAACAATTGTCTCTCTGCTTTGCTGTTTCAGAGACTCAATCAGGTGATATATACAGGATGATTAGGGAGTCAGCTGACACTGTTAATGAGTTTTGGGTGATTAACTTTGGTTTCTGTGAAGTGATGGAAATGAAGTATTTAACATTTCTCTGTGCCACCCCAGTGATGCACCCCAACTGTTTTTGTTTGACTTGTGTTTGTACTGTACATACCAGATATAATGTTGTTAAATAAAATATTCATCATGTAACAAGACCTGGTGTGAATGTGTACTTGAGGGTTTTTTTTTCCTCATAATTTAGGGTGCATTTGAGTATAAAGTGAACATACAACCAGAGGTCTCCATTCAAAGCAGTGTTGTATGGAGCCACAGTTGAATGCAACTCACTTCCACCTCAGATTGCTAAAGTAGAGGGATATCAGTATGTATGTGAATACGCTATAAGATTTCACTTTGGTTGTATATTCTGTGCTCATGATTTAGTGTATATTAAAGGACCAGTGTGTAGGATTTAGTGGCATCTAGTGGTGAAGTTGCAGATTGCAGCCATTTGAATACAGCTCAGCCTTCCAAGCATTTAAGAGAAACTACGGTGGATGCGAAGCTTGTGAAAAACACGAACAGCCTTATTTTTCTTAGCCAGTGTTTGGTTTGTCCGTTCAACATGGTGGACTCCACAGAAGAGGACCCGCTCCCTCCGTAGGTAAAAATGGCTCATTCTAAGGTATTACTGATTGTACACTAATAAAAACATACTATCTGCCAATAGATCCTCCTAAATGTTACACACTGGACCTTTAATATGTCATGCTTTTATGTTTTATGTGGACCCCAGGAAGATGTTAAGCTGACCATAAGATAAATATGATCCAATTTAAAGCCAAAGTATCTGATTTTATGACATCATTTTCCATCTAAGTTCAGCGCTTCCAGCATTTCACAAATCAGACATTTAAAGTCTCCATCCTGATATATTGTAGGTAAAAAATATATATATTAAGATGTTTTCAACCAAATACTTAAATAGCAACAAATATGGCAAAAAGGTGTAATCCATAAAAACATATATTGTATGATATTCTGGGATTTAAAGGTATAACAACTTCTCAGATTAACAACAAATAACACTATTTGGGTTTTCTATTCCAAATTCAGAATATTTAATGGCACTAAAACAACATTTAGGTTATTTATATATATTTAAAATGGTCAATATTTCAAACATCTTGAGACCATGTTGGAAATGATTCTCACTGTATCACTGTGTCCCACATCATAAAGGCTCAAATATGAAAAATAAATACAATCTGCACATGCTTAGGGGGACTTATGAAATCCTGTGTGGAAGGTCCGGTCCGGTCCCGTCCGGTCCGGGGGGGGGGGGGAGGGAAGTGTCCCCCTCTCTCCGTCCTGCTGCTCCGTCATCCCGTCGCGCCGGAAAGGCAGAGCAGCGCAGAAAAAGGAGGCGTTGCCCTCCAACAACACATCAGCTGCAAATTTATGCAAAACAGTAAAAGCACTGCCGCTGCTGCTGCTGCTGCTGCCGCTGCGGCCGTCCTGCACAGCACCCTGAAAAGAGCATCAACAGCGGGCTCCGGAGGCCGCCCACACGCCCCGAGTCGTTCTGCAGCGGGCAGCCGGTGCAGCAGGAGGCTGAGAAACCCGCTCCGGTGACGGTAAGCACGCACCGAGAGCCCCCCCCCCCCCGTTAACGAGCCAGACGGCAGCAAGCGGTTAGCGGGATGCTAGGAGCAGTAGCCTCCGGTGGATCCAGTGTTAACTGGTCTGGAAACATGGAGGGCAGCTAGCTAACAGTAGCTCTGGGGTTGTTGTGCTCAGGTGCGGGGTGCAGCTAAAGAGGAAGCCTGTGGAGGCTGGAGGTGGCAGACTGGCCGTGCTGGGACAGGATGGTGTGTGTGTGTGTGTGGGTTTGTGTGTGTGTGTGTGTGTGTGTGTGTGTGTGTGTGTGTGTGTGTGTGTGTGATAATGATGTTGCGGGGATGTAATGGATACAACAGTTCAGAGTCCAGATGATGTTGAACTGGAAACAAAAAAATAAAAGAAACCAAGTTGATTTTTATTAGTTTGGAATACATTTGAAAGAGTTTCTGAAATATGAGCACAAATTTGGGTTTTGTGGGTCACTGTTACATACATGTTACATGTGTGTGTTTTTTGTTTTTGTTTGTGCATTTACATTTGTTGTTGTTGTTGTTGTTTTCCAAAATTCTGGCTGCATCTCCAGAGTTTGCAAACAGTGAATGAGTTCTAATTCTGATATAATGCGTTTGTGTGCAGTTAATAAAATAATAATAAATAAAAACTAGGCCAGTGCACCGAACCATATTCTCAGATATATGAATGTTTGCATACATGGCAGCCAGAAAGTCAGATGAAATTGTGGCGCAGAAATGCTAAAAGTATGTTTAAGGTCATTTAGATTATTTATTTATTACATGGTTTGTCTACAGAGCACTGACAAATGTATTTTTCAGTTATTAAATGCCCCACTCAGCTCATCACCATTAACCAAAGTGAAGAGATTCTTTTTAAAGATGCATGTATGGTGTTAATTAAAAGAAAAGCAAATATCTGCTGCTGTGTTATAGATTTGATAAAAAAAAGAGTCTTATTGAAAACTCTTGTATTAGGCACCTTTACTTCCTCCTATCACCCACCATTAGTACCTTCAATCCTCAGTGTGTGGCTCACCCGGTTTGGTTCATATGTCTGTTTTTATTAAGATCACAGATCATCAGCCCCAGTTTATCACTTGTTTGATTTACCAGCCAGGCTCTGCTGTGCATCAGTCAGTTAGTGTTCCACTGATATATATATATTGATATTGTTCTGTAGCCTTTTATAAGTGTAGTGGCTGTTATGTTCCTTTTGATATTAGAAAGCGATCTCAGCACTAGTGACAAATGCAAAGACAAGATTGTAAATATAAATGATCTTTTGGCAAAAGAGATCAGCACTGCATCCTCTAATCAACAAATACAAGTTTCCAACTTGCATTTTGAATGCTCCTGATTAATGTCTAAAAATATTTGTGAAGTTGTCTTGGATTTAGTTACAGATGGCAGATTCTGACATTTCATGTGTGTTTTGTGTGAATTTTCACACACAAATGTCGCAAAATGCTGGTTTGCACATTAGTCACATTAATTTCACTTATTTAAAAGCCCTTCCTGGTTCATGTGCAGTGGGTGACCATGTATTTAATAAGGTGTTCTATGCACACTGGAGTTTTACCACTCTGCGTCCACCAGTCTCCATCATAGGCTTTTCTGCAAGGAAACAGTCGCCTGTAAGACACTGAATTATTGTGATGTGATGCCAAAAAAAAAGGTCAGATTTAAAGGTGTTGAAAGTGTCAGAAGAAAACATCAGTAATCATCAACGCCAGTCTAAAAGTTTTCATAAGAGTCTGTCCAGCACTGCATCAGTCACTGCTACCATCAGCCACCCGGTGAAATATTGACTCAGCGTCTCGGCTCAGTGAGAAACGGTGTTTGTCAGGAACAGTGACGGCTGCTTTTTCATCAGCTGGCCTCTCACAGAGAAAGTGCAGTGTGTGTTTCCCTCTGTGTTTGACTGACGGACGGCTCCCCTGTCTCCTCAGCAGCCATGGAGACGGATGGAGAGCAGAACCAGCCAGGGGCTTCCACAAATGGGAGCGCTGCATCTGGGACCAGCTCCCGCCCCTCTCCAATGAATTCCATGTCTCTGTATGAAAGACAGGCCGTGCAGGTAGGTGTGTGTGTGTGTGTGTGTGTGTGTGTGTGTGTGTGTGTGTGTGTGTGTGTGTGTGTGTGTGTGTGTGTGTGTGTGTTTGAAGGTTTGTTTGCAGTTTACAGGCTTTCATTTTGTCCAGTTTTTTTTTTTTCTATTGACAATAGCGTCTAAAAAGCAAGTCAAATATAAAATATTCATTTAAATTGCAAAAAAACAAATTATGATACTGATTACTAGCTATTAATTAGAACTTATGTGTTACTATTAGCAATTATTTCCTAAAGGTGTATCTCTCTTGAGTGCACAGGTTCAAATAATAATTGTATTTTCTATGCTCATAATGACTGACCAATGATGAGGACCGCTGCGTCAGGAGAATGATGTAAGATCAGGAAAGTAACCTTCAAAGGGAGGGGGACCTGCAGATCATATTTCCCCAGAGGCAACCCTGGCGGGTTCATCTGGCCTTGTTAATAATAAACTGTAATACAGTTTCTATAGTTTTTATTAGCTTCTGTGTTCATTGTTAGGTCTCATTCATCTCTGTCTCTAATTAAATAGGCAGACTGGATGTTGCAGGACAGATAGTGTTTGCTGTATTCGTTGCTGTGAGGTTATTACGCTCTCGATGTTTTATTTAGGATTGATGACATAATACTTCACTTACAAATACTACTAAAGCACTAAAGGATTCATATGTTTCCTCCTAAACAAAAAAAAACAACCTTTCCCTTTTTCTTTATACTTTAAATGTACCCCCGACGAGTTTCGTCTTTTGCACTCAAACATTAAACTGAGCGTCTCTTTGACCCAGAGGATGATGGTCCAGTAGCTAAGCTCATGGGCAAAGGAGGATTACCAGTAAATGAAAATAAAAAGGTTCTGCTTGTGAGTTGTTATTGCTGGACATTACAAATGTCCTCATACATTTCTAACTGGGACATTCAACAAGACCACAAGTAGGCTGCCTGCCTGGGGATGGGATAGCACCTAACCATGTGACTCTTCGTCTTTAAAAAAAGGAGACGTCAGGAAGCTTTTGGCTGCTCACGAAGATGAAAAAAGTGATTAAAAATATACAACAGGTGTCAGCCCCAAACTACTTCCAATAGGTTCCTGGGGAAATGAGGGATGGCGACATGAAATTAAGTTATTTGTCGTAATGTGGCCTCTTATTTGTAGTAGCAAAAATCTGGCTACTGTTGTTAGCTTCCACGTGACAAAAAAACCAGAATCTGGACTTTTGTTAAAGCGTGAACGAAGCTTGTTTGTCTCTATAAGCGAGATCGGAGCTTGTTTGTCTTCATATTTTCTGATTTACGGGTGAGCTGACGGGCAGAAAGTGATGGAGAGCCACTGAAACGGAGGTGAAGAAGGAGATTGAGTCGTGCTGGGTTGGTGGAGGCTCTGTGTAATTTTATCAGGCTTCTGTCACCCTTCACAGCCATCTGTCTTTGTCACCCTGCACACACTAATCCAGCCCGCCGCGCTCGCTTTCATCCTTCAACTTATTACTATACGACGCCTCGGCTCATACATCAGGCAGCTGGCAGGAGGCTTTACACTCGGCTACAGCATCCCTCCCTCTCTGCTTCCTCTGCCCTCCTTTCCACTTCCTCCTCCTCTCATTTTTCATGGCACTGTACTCCCCCCCCCAAGTCTTCACATTTTTATCTATAATTTATCCTACTTCTTCCCTTCCTCCATCCCTCCACATCTTCTTCTGGTTGTTTGCCATCATCTTCTCTATCTCCCTTTCTCGACATCTCTCTTTATCATCCTCCAGTGCGTCCTTCCTCTCTGTCTCTTCTTCATGTCCTCCTTTCTTCTACTTCTCTCCTTTCTCTTTCTCCGCTTGATTCGCTGCCCCTTGATTTTTTTTCATTTCCCTCCTCTCCTCCCTCCAGGCCCTGCAGGCGTTACAGAGGCAACCTAATGCAGCTCAGTACTTCCAGCAGCTGATGCTGCAACAGCAGATCAGTAACGCCCAGCTGCAGAACCTGGCCGCCGTGCAACAGGTAAAGGTGTGTGTATGCTATGTCATTCATCATTTTGCCTCAGTGTGTCAAATACTGTGTGGCAAGGCCATTTTTATAAACCTTATGACACAATCTCATAGATCAGGAATCACAAAACTAAATGACATCCTAATAAACCAGGCAGAAACAGTAAGAAACAGAGGAAAACGATCTAATTTGCTGCTCTGTGACAGTCTGACAGCCTTTTCAAGAATTCCAATTTAGATTTAGTTTGGAGGAGACTGAAACCTGAAGCTCTTCTCCTCTCTTTTTCCTTCTCCTCCTCCTCCCAGGCTACTCTGGCTGCCAGTCGTCAGTCGAGTCCTTCGAGCAGCAGCTCTTCTCAGACCACCAGCACCACAGCTGTATGTACTTTTCTCGTGGTTACACCAAAATGCCGGCTCTTCGTCACAGGATTTAGTTTTCTGCAGGCTATCCAGTGTGCACGGTTTCCCTAAATGACTCACTTTTTTAAGTAATGCATAAAAACGTCATAAATTCTATACATTGAACTCACTCATTGTCATCTGACAGGCCAGTGTAACATCCGGATCAGGGTCTACAACCAGCAGCCGTCCTATGGGTGCCTCAGCAACGTCCACAATCAGCCAGTCAGTGCTGCTGAGTGGGACGGCGGGGGGGCAGGGACAAATGTACCTGAGGGTGAGTTTTATTCCTTTTTTAGATCATCATTTTTCAGTATTCAGATTATATAGCGGTTCCATAAAGCAGGCTGAGGCAGTTTGAGTTCTATCGGTGTGTGTCCTCTGCCAGGGTCATGCTAACGTGCACATTGTACCTGACGCCGGTTTTGGCTTACTTTCTGTGTGTTTGATGACTTTCCTGTCGTCCTGCAGGTCAACCGCTCCCTGAGGGCCCCCATCTCCTCACAGCTCATCTTTATGCCTGGCAACACAGCAACCGCTGCCGTGGCAACCGTCACCCAGCAGCCACAGGCGCAGCAACAGCAACAGGAGGTGACACCAACTTCCTCTTCCAGCAGCCAATCAGATAATGACCAGGTCTGTGGAATGATGATTGGAGGTTTCTTGCTTTTTGTCTTTTCAGTTCTCTTCGCACTGATTCCCTGCCACAGATTGCCCGTTATATTTGCTCTTTCTTTCTCTCCCTCCCTGCCTCCAGGTGCAGAACCTAGCAATGCGAGGTGTGTCCAGTACCAAAGGTGTTGGTGTTAAGACTGAAACCCCAGAGAGGAGTGACTCAGGTAGGGAGGGAGGGAGGGAAAAGCAACCTGGAAACAGCCTGCAACCTGCACATCTTTTACTCCCTGATTGTGACATTGTGAATTGGAAACCTGTTGATGATGATGGATCCTGGCTGATTTTGCAGATGTGGAGAGTACAGAAGTTTACTGTCCTGAATTGAGCTGCAACAGTTTTTATTTTAACAATGGATCAAATGATTACACGCACTTGAAAGGTATTGATGTACCCACAGAGAATTATCCTCTGACTGCAGTTCAGCTCTGTGGAGCATTTTAGCGTTTTTCAGCTCATAGTTTTGGTTTTTGGTTTACAGCTTGACTGTTTGTTTCAGACGGAGCAGGGAGCTTTTTACAGTGAACAATCTCTGATAAACTCGCTGTTCACTAACCTGCCCAGTACCAAGCAGCAGACAGTAATTAGCAGCTAGCCAGATATCTTTCTCAAGAGTTGGTGGAGAGTGAAAGAAATGCTGCACTTATCAGGTGGCCAGAAACACGACTCTAAATGAAAGCTGATGTTGCTCCGTATCAGCTGAATGTGTAAATAAGCCTTCACCATATCAAGTTTATAAGGTGATAATATGTTGGTGTCGTGTTTTCAGCTTGTTTTTGTTGCCCACAAACTCAGTTAATGCAAGTTTCAATGTCAGAAATGTTGTGTGTAACTTCGGTTGTGTGTTCTTTCAGCTGCGTACTCCCTGGTCCAGCCCTCCCACCAATCGCACTCCCAGTCCCCCACTAAGCCAAGCCAGCCTCAGCCCCAGCCGCCCCACATCAAAATCCCCACCTACCCTCAGCCCACCAACCTCAAAGCCCACCCTTCCTCCTCCTCTGGTGCCTCCTCCTCGTCCTCCACCTCCTCCATCCCTCTCTCCCAGCTCCTGCTTCACGGAACCCGGACTCTGGCCACAGGAACCACGGCTCCCACAACAGCACATACCCTGGTCCTAACGTCCAGCGCGGCAACCCAGCCCCACGGGTATCCTGTCGGCACGGCGACCATCAAACCAGCGGTGAACGCTCAGACCCTGGTGGTGCAGCCCCTGCAGAAGACCTCGCTCGGTGCGGAGAAATCCGGCCACGGCAATGGACCCATCCCCATCCAACCCAAAACTCTGCAGGGGCTCCGCCTGCCCCTCCAGCTGCCTTCTAGGAACCCCCCTCCCATCCTGCCTGCCCCACCTCCCGCCAGCAGCTCTTCCCAGCCCCCCCAGCCGCCGCACATCCCGGTCCAGATTGTGGGGGCGAGGCAGAGCACGCTGGGAAACACCCAGGCTCTGGCTCTGGCCCGGGGCAGCTGCTGCCAGGAAGGAGCCGCCGTCCTCAGCAGCTCGTCCAGCCTGCTCACCATGGTGGCGTCCATCGCTTCCAGGGAGGGCGGAGTCGTGGGCCGAGGGGTGGGGCTGAAGACTCTTCAGTCGCCCCAAGAGGCCCCCCCGTTGGCACAGGTCTCTCAGGTGCATCCGCAGGCCAATCAGAGCTCTGGACAGAGTCAGAATGGACCGCTGGCTTCGAGCCCTGCCGCCTCCCAGCCCCCCACCATTTCCTCTCCTCCCTCCTCGATGTCTCGCTCATCCCTCTCGCTCCCGCTGGCAACAGAAGAGCAGAGAGGAGCTTCAGCTGGCGTGACTACCAATGGAGACTCATCGGGAAGTCAGACACCGCAGGTCAGCTGATTACTGTTAATAAGTCAGGATTTCATACTTACTAAACGAGTGATGAAGTTTAATCTCACAACAGTTATCCCAATTAGAGGTGGGAATTAAAGGGGTATTGTGATCAGTCTTCCTTTTCACCTCTCTTTTATTACATTTTCCATTCATTCCTAGTGCTTTGTTACATTGCCACTTTGTAGTTTGTCTACTGTCTACTCTAAATAGAGGGTGTTGAATATCATACAGATTTTTAAGCCCTCTAAGATAAACTTGTGATTTTGGACTGTATAGATAAAAATGACTCAACTTGACCACTTCATACGTACATAGTTGCAACCCAAAGCAATTACACTCATCCAAAACGGCTTCTGGAAACAAAATGTCATTCAGTGGTGGTCCGACGTCCTGCATGAGTCTGAAGTTGCTTACTCGAAGGCTTTAAATAAATTCTGCTTTTCATCCGTTTACCTGTTCAAACTGATTTTATTTTAGGGAAAGCAGTTGACTGGCTCACTAAAAAGAAAATCAGACTCCAATTCAGCCAATGATGAAGACGGCCCCTCCCCTCCACGGCTCCAGCCAGTCAGAGACCACCCCTCAGCACTGCCGACCAATCCCATCGAAGCAGGTAGCGACATAGAAACAAGTCGGTGAATTGTTCTCAGCAGGCTCGATGCTGCTGCTGTAACACGATATTTACTTTTTTTTTACTACCCCTCTCCTTTCTCCCCTTCCCCTCCCCAGCAGGCTCTGGTGCTCCTCCTCCAGCCACCTCCCCTCCCTCCCCAGTGCTGGCAGTGTCTCGTGGGGTCTGCGGCCAGGGGGAGAGAGCTCCTCCCCCCCAAGCCGTGGTTAAACCGAACGTCCTTACACACCTCATAGAGGGCTTCGTCATCCAGGAAGGGGCAGAGCCTTTCCCTGTGAGTACATGGGATTTGTAGTTTCTAGTACCCTCTTTAAGCAATGCACATGTATGACATCGGTCTGCTTGTCACCTGACTTTTTACTGGGGTTTGTGTTTGATCAACAGGTATGTGGTTCAGTAAAGGACTCGGCTGGCGAGGATTTAACTAATGACAGTCCGGACACTAACCAATCAGAGACTGTTACAACAGCGACAGGTAACTGCTCTGACAATACTGCTGTCGTCCAGACATGTTTGAGGGTAGAAAATTGCCTATTTGCTTAAAGTCAGAATTCCAATTGAGCAACATGGTCTGCATTTCTCATCTGGGAAGTTTCTCAGCAGTTCTTTATAATATTTATCCTTAAAATACCCTAACATTGGATTTTAGCATCATACAGCTAAAATATTTCAAAACAGTTTTGTGATTAAAGGGTAAGTAAGGACATACATTTTAAGTGTTAATTTGCACTTACAGCTAACTGTCCATGCTAATTTTCCAGTTAACCTTGCCAAATATAATTACCACAGCATGGACATGGAGGGCAGGCAACAAAATGACCCTTGTTTGACCCTTGCTTGTCCAAGCTGGGCCACAGGAACGCACAGAGGTTTTAATTACAACCTTTTAAGCTGGGAATTTCCCACCTTTGACTTTTACTGGAAGGCAACGTAACAGCGCAGTGAAATATCGTCACACTCTTCTTTTTCCCATTGTGGTTTCAACAAGTCCGTAAATCTGTTTGAGTGCATTTACAGATCTGTGTGTTTGTTTGGATTTTCTGATTTAGCATTAGTGCACACATGTAATTTATCTACAAATCATAGAAATGATATATTTACCATCTGCTCTGTTTTTCCTCCAAACTTTCCCCTCAGTGCTGAAGTGTGAGTACTGTAAAAACTTTGCTCCTGCAAGCCAGTTCAGAGGCACCAAAAGGTTCTGCTCCATGTCTTGTGCCAAGAGGTACTTCAACATGCATGAAATATAATATATGCAGTGGCAGCCATCTTAGAAAGAGAAACTCTGTACTCCTGAGAGCTGCAGCGCACTGTGGCCTTATCTCTCTGGCATTTAGAAAAGAACAGAAACTAATTACAAATTGTATTAAAAACCATTCCACAAACTGATGATTGAGTAAACAGTGTGTGAATTTTCAGGTGGCTACAGCTGTATATTTCCCAGCATGTATGTTTTCTGTTCTCATGTTTTATTCGTATGTTTGAATACTGTGATAGTGCCACGTCATGCACTTTTCTCTACAGAAATGGCATGTAAAGTTATGTCTGTTTTCATGCCTAATTGCAGTCAAGTTAGTTTTTTTAATTTATATCCTCTTTTGAATTTGCTCCATATTAAAATGTACGTTGTATTTATTGTGTTTCTCTATATAAACAATGCACTGTCCGCATTGTTTGAAACAGTATGCTGTCAGCATATGATTTTTACATTTTCTGCTTCTGCTTTGCATTTGTCCCTTTGCCCACTACATGCGTATAGATTATATACCGCGTATGGTGCAAAGAGATAAAAACTGTATGTGTTGCTCGTCTTGGCTTCAGTACCGTATATGTCACTCTTTGTCTACGATACAGTATGTATTGGTTCCCCAGGTACAACGTCAGCTTCAGGCAGCACTTCTGCATGCGGCAGGGTCAAAGTCAAGGTCACACTCCGGATCAGGATCAAGGCCACGGTCACCTCTCCAACTCAGACGAGGAGGGAGGAATCACCAGGCGGAGGGTTCCTCGCAGGACTAGCTCAGAAATAGCCAGTGCCAAGATAGCAGGGAGACCCATACCTGTCAAGGTGAGAAGGAGCGGCACATTTCCTACATGGATCTAAAGAAACAATAAATAATGGATCCATGATTCATTTATGTGGTAATATAACTGTAGCGGGTACGTTTACTTTCCCATGTTGAAACCAGAGTTGCTGTTTTAAGATAGGTGATGTTGATGATAACTTTGCACTAAATTTGGTTAATTTGGTCTTTCTGGAGGCAGGAGGGGATTGACATGGTGCAAAAAACATTTTGTAAAGGGTTTAACAGACAGGTTTTGTTATTTTGCTCGTATGTTGCAAATTTTTTTTTAAATCAGATTTTAGGAAATCTGTTATAGTATGAGGAACACACCACTATATGCATAAAAAGTTAACTTTTTATGCAACCAGAACAGTGGATTTGTATTTATCACAGTCTGTAGTCTGCATCTAACATCTAACATCATAGCCCTCAGTTTAACACTATCTAGGGGTTGGGGGTTTAAACACAAAAATCGATACAGTGTTTTTAAGAATCAATACAGTATTATGAAACAAAACATTGTAAAACTCAAGCACATCAATATTCCTGACATTCATAGTAGGAAGAGGACACTTATCAGTTGATTTTAGATCAGTTCGGCTTTTTCTCGTTGCACAGGGTGAAATTCAGCAAAGGGCATTACATGGCAAAAACACCAAAAACGTTTCACCCATATGATCGTTAAATTTCTCATTCCAAAACCATGGGCATCAATCTGCCGTTACAGCAGGCGTCCCTCTTCAGGGAAGGGTATCCGCCAGAGTTTTAGAGCCGTACCAGTTCATCCCTCAGGTCTTAAGGATCTGGCTTTGTGCATGGGGCGTTGGCATGTTTAAACAGGAAAGGGTATTTCCCAAAATGTTCCACAGGTTTTAATTGTATGCTGTAGCATTAAGATTTACCTCAGCTGGAACCAAGGGGCCTAAACCATGAAAAACAGCCATAAGCCAGTGTATGGAGGTGTCCACTTACTTTAGGCCACATAGTGTGAAGTAAAAATGCAGAAACCACAACAGATATGAACACATCATAAAAAACAGCCACAGTTTGTGACTTAGACAGTGGGTTGGGGGTATTTTAAGGTGGAAGGCAACCTAATGGATCCATCTATAGCTTTCAGTCATTCATGTTAAGCTGCCCCCTAGTGGCTGCAGGCAGGCTCTGCAGAATTTACAACCAAAGCACAAAATTAGTATCACTCTCTCACCTTCTCTCGGTGATGTTGCCAAACTCTCAGACTTGTGGTCTTTTATTTCAGTGATAGCATTTTCATGTCTGTTATATACATTAAGAAATGCAGTCACACACCGCCTTGCTCAGGGTTTCCTCTGCCTCTCCCCCTCCCCACAGTGCCGTTCAGAGTCCAGCCATTCAGATGAGGAGTCCAGTGGAGAGGAGGATGAAGATGACCCCATGTCCCTCTCGCCCGCCTCCTCTGCCTCCTGCCACCAGCCGCCTCCTCCGCTCCCGACAGAGAGTTCTGCACCCAGCTGCCTGTCTGCTAGCCCCGGCCAGTGGAGCGTGGAGGAAGTGTCGCAGTTTATTTCTTCACTACAAGGTTAGAAGATCTTTACAGTAACGTTTAATGAAGAGCACTATTTTCTGATGTATTATAGACTACACAATTAATAATCAGCAAATAATAATCAATAATGGAAATCATGTTTAGTCCTTGTCTTCTGTATTCCTTTTTGCAAAAATATCCTAAATTTCTTTTTCTTGTTGTCTCTATCTTTCCCACTTTTACTTCAACCATTGACTTTACTGCTCTTTTCTTCCTTGCCTTTGTCTTCAATTTTTTGCTCCTGTCCCATTTTTCTTTCTCTCTATTTACATTCCTCTTCCTCCTCTTCGCAGGCTGTGAGGAGCTGGCCTCCCAGTTCCTGTCGCAGGAGATCGACGGACAGGCCCTGCTGCTGCTGAAGGAGGAGCATCTCATGTCCACCATGAACATCAAGCTAGGTCCTGCCCTCAAGATCTGCGCCCACATTAACAATCTGAGAGACTGATGTCAGTGTTTCCATAAATCCACTATGTTCAAAGTCAAGCCCTGGGCATTTACCCAAAACTCCTGGTTCCAGAGCAGTCAGAGTCCTGCAATGAATGTATGAGGTGCAGTTCATTTTTAAAACCAAGCCAAGGCTCTTTAGCTCTAACAAGGGCTGCAGCACTTGAATCTGTTGTTGATTTGTCCACTTTTGACCACATTTTTAAATGTTGTTCTTGCACAGTAGTATTGTTACAGTTACATTATTGTTCCTTGCAAATCTGTCATGTCTGAGTTGCAAAAATACTTCAGATCACCAACTGTATTATGGTGAAAATACATTTTTCCCAAAAATGTTATTTCTGCACAAAATTAAGAACTTGCCGTCAGAAATAGTTTTAACCAAGTGATTTCATTTTGCCTTTTAGATGCACAATTTCAGACTAATGGCTGTCTTGCAAAATGCAGAAATTAAGGATTTGAATGTATTTTCAATGCAGAAATCTGTTGTATTGTGTGATCGGGGTTAGTACTTGCACAGGATTCCCACATTTTACTCATCATGTACACATAGGGCTGCCCTTTTCACAGGCTGTGCTAATCTTGTTTCAATATTTTTGTTACATTTCATATTTCTGCGAAAGTTCCACAAAACATTCAGAAGAAAAAGGAAATACTGAAGACGTTTACTGATAAACACACTACTATTCATTGTATCATATTGTACAGAAAAAAATATTTTTGAAAGATCCACCCACCTTCTTTTGCTTCGAAACTTTATTCCGGGATCTTTTTTTCCTCTCTTTGAGAGCAGTGTTGGTTCTCATCTAGTTGAACACCATTTTGGGCTTTTTGGTTACAACTCTTCACCTGATTTGAGCCACAATCAGCATAGAATAGGGACAGAAATGCAGTTAAGAAACACCCAAAATGTCTCTATCAGTCAGTTTTATTCTGTCTGAAGTCTTATTTTCAAAGTGTTTTGTAAGGAAAGCTCTCACATGAGTCATAACTTTAGCGGTTTGTATGTAATAACTTGTACTTACGTAAAATTATAATCATTTTGTAAGAATAGGCATCATCATTTTTAAATGGTGGCACTTTTATTTTGAAGGTGGCCTGTTCTACAGTTTACAGGGTACAGTTAAAGTACAGGGTACTGGCTGCTGAAATGAATCCCTCAAGGATCAGAAACATTTCACATTTCAAGTGAGGCCAAAAAAATACTGCAAAAATACTGATGTTGCAAACAGTTTTCTCGCATCTTTACCCTGTTTTTTTACACACAGAGCACATCAACAGTTAATAAGACACTACTGCAAAATGCTTTTCCAGAACAGTTTTCACATTCAAATTTTGTCACTCAGTATCTCCAGGAGATCCAGCCTTTTTAAGTTTTTTAACAGAGGACTTATTGTTGATTCTTAAAGGACTATAATCTGCAAAATCCTTGACAATTTTTACTTTTTCAAACGGTGAAGCTGCTCCTGATCTATACAGGAGTATGTGGATGAGTGAAGGGTAACGTCATGGGCTTGATTTTGTAAAGGGACATAAAGCTTAAAAAGAAATGCTGAAACAGATGAAGAATGAAAGTAAATGTGATGATAAGCTGAAATATCTTTAAGCTACATTCATGAACAAAACCAGAAAGTCCAGGAAGAAAAACAGGCTGGCAGCCACATGTGGACCTATGTTTAGGATGGATGGTGAAAAACAAAAACAAATCGTACATGAATGAGTGAGTGTGTGAATGAGAGAACCTTAAACTATACTGTAATAAGTGTAAAAAATGCCTTTATATTTAAATGCACATTTGTTTGCTGGACTGCCTTGTTTAAGCTTTTTACTGTAGGAGTTTTTCTCATGTTATCTCTGTGAACCTTGTGGCCTTTCTCACTAGTCTCTACAATAGGTTTAGATGAGGATTGTCTGTTTTTTAACTGCTTTTCATATCATTCCTTGTTTTATATTAGTGCTTACTTTTTTACAATTGTTATTTCAAGCAATGACATCCGTTGCCTTTCCCAAAAAGCGTGACTGAATAGTAGCTACCTTGATCAAGGGAAACTTGCTGTCTTCCTCATAGCTTTGTCACATAGCGTGTAACTACCAACAGTATTTACCTTTCTAGTTAGCTATCTTTGGCTTTATTGTTAGTGACTGTGGCTATTACAGTATTTTCTTTCAAGAAGAATAATAACCTTTGATAGCTGTGTGTTTATATGTCCTAGTCGCCCCAGGATTTTGGAGTGTTTTAAATGAGCAGATCCCTTCGGCATATTGTGAAGACCATAAAAAAAAGAAGCACTTGTGCTGCATTACAAGTGATGTGAGCCACAACTTCAACTCATCGCAGTTCTGCTGTGATTACCTGTGTAACATTTGTTAACAATCGGACCATTCAGTCACTGTTCTCCCAAAAAGTAGCACTTTTCTCACAAAATGTGGATTCTGCAAAAGGCCTTTTTTTTTGGCTTTTATATTTTAAATAAAGAAGCTACTTCAGAATCAAAATGTGTTTGCTTGCAATAATCAGAAAAAACTGCAAAATCTTGGAGGGACTGAGGTTGACGTGGAGAGGCTAACAATACTATCATGCAAATAAATAATCAAGGAACTGTTTTAAATCTGCGATGCCTGTGTTTTTATTTCTGTGATGGAACTGATGTGAGTCATCTAACCCTAAGGGATGAATAACGCTTATATGTGTGTGCGTGCGTGTCAGACTTTGCATGGATTGCTTTCAGTGTGCACCATTAGCTTCCCTGTTTGATGAGTGAGAACGGACTGGTTTATAGGATGTTTGTCAATTTCAGCATTGCGATATGTAAAGTTGACTATGTGCGGGTTATTAAGCTTTGACTTTAGGGCGAGGTGTATTCAGTGAGCTGTATCAGAACTTCAGTCCTTGACAAGATCCTGTTGGGCTTAGGTTTTGGTTGGGTATTACAGAGATCTGTTAGGGTCAGGACTGAGGGTGGGTTCAGTTTACGGTAAGAGAAAACACTGGTCAGATCACAGAGTACAGTGTAACACCTGCATGTACAGCTATATAGGGTTTACAATAGCCTAGTTATCAACATAGAAACAGATTTATCAATTAAGAATCTTGATTTCAAACAGAAATAGACAAAATCTGGTAATTAACATTAATTTCAGGAGCCTATCAAACTCTGTTTCCAGCTTGGAGCTGTGTTTTATTATAGTCATTTGATGACAAATAATCATGCAAGAGGTTGTTCAGTTTACATATGAATACATGACATTATGCAAAATGTGTAATGATGCAAAAACCTGCAGTTCAAGCTGGTTCCAAACAAAAAGTGATGGAAATGAAGCAGCTCTAGTGCAGTGTTATGGTCCCTTCGCTCTGTAACATATTGGTTGCAGTTAAAAACATACATTGTTTTCCTTTCTTTTATAGTTTACAGATATAGAAATATTTACAATCCATATATTAATCTTTAAACATATAAAGTTAGTGTGCTTTATGATGCATTGTAAGTGTCCCAATAGTACAAACAAGTATAAAACTATAAACAAACACAATTATGATGTGCAACAGTAGCGTCAACGTAGTCCTGACTGATGGCCTCTCTCAGCCAATCAGAGCACCGCATAGTTGTAGGCCTCTCCATATCCCGCCTCCCTCAGGTATTTCTCGATGTCCAGTGGTTCCGGCACTCTGAGAACTGTCCTCCCATTGGCTGATTGCTCTCCCGCCCTGAGTTTCCTAATTAGCTCCGACATTGACAGACGTTGTTCGGGGTTCCAGTGGCAGCAGGATTTGATGATGGAGTACCTTGGGAGAAAAAAAACACTGTAAAACTGAAAGCCAACGAATATATATTTATATATTTATTATCTCTACCTTGTGTAGAAACATAGGTTTTACAACATTTTACCGACCTGTCCTTTATGTGTAACGTGCCGCCATTGTTATCAGCCGTTGGAATTTGGCTCTCTGTTGACCCTTAGATATCTGTTAGTTTATCTGAATTTATGTGACAGTTTTGTTTGAAATAGGAAGTTATGTTTAGGGCAAACTTTTGATATTTGTCTTGGCTTAATTTTAACAAAAATGAAACAAAAGTAAGAGTTCCAGTTAAGTTTTTTAACTTCAACTAATAACTTTTAATTAAGCTACATTTACGGGCTAAGTTATATTTTATATTCCTGTTCAGCCAATTATTAATTACTTGTGAAAAACATGTAGTCATTAACCTAATACAAGTATCTAAATATGAAAGTAAAGTCATTTGATTACTTTCCACTACTTTCAACACCAAATTATGTAAAAAAAAACAAACAAGAGAAAATGATAATCAAAAAGAAATACTGATGCAAGTTAATTCTATAAGACAAAAATGTAAACTTTAATAAAAATGTAAAGATTTTTAGCAGTATTTTAAAATTATAATCCTTCTTTTTTTACTAGATATAACTGTACTCTGATTGTTTTCTGTAACTGTAATGGATTAAAGTAGATTTTTCTGTATCGTGATTTCATAACTCAGCTACATGTAATCCATTACTCCACCAAGCCTGGTGATATCTTATAATGGGCAGGTGTTTTTAAGTACATAAGTATGACCCACTGAGGTCTTTAGGAGGAGGAAGAAATATATTATGAACAAAAAATAGAACCATGAAATCATAGATCTATACTATTGACTAGACACTATAGATCCTCCTAAATGCTATACACTGGACCTTTAATAGTTGACAACTAATTGACTAATCGACTAATTGCAGAGATAAAATAAAACTGACTTGACATGTTTTTTAGTTTAGAGGCTGATGGAGACCCGTGCACACCACTGATATTAACAGTGTTCTGCTGTTCTTCTTACAGTGAGTTGGAGCAGGTGGGCGGCCGTTTCAGATGCTTTCCTCTTTGTAGATATTGCAGAAGTTCAGTCGCCATGATCTGAGCAAACGGTGGGTCACCTGTAAACATGGGAGTATACTATGTTAGATTGAAGTACTTAAAGTTCCACCTCCACTCGAAAATGTGTTTTTCTTCTTGTTCCTACACTTGGATATTTGAGCTTCACTCTACAGATTGATGTATGTGAAGAGTTCGACGCTAAAATTATGTTTTCACATTCATCAGCTGAAAGTGGAAAGTTTCTCATCGCTCATTATCCAGCAGGAAAACTTTGATGTGGAAGTTATACACCAGACACACATTATTGTTTCAAGCTGACTGTTTGTATAAGTAATAATACACGTCTGGAGGGGATCTGTTGTATGAATTTTAATAATGGGATTTAACTATTCACCACATAGTGTACTTTTTATTATCTCTCAAAGGGAGATTTATTCTTTGCTGTTTATTATATTATTTACTTATTGTTATTATTATTATTGTTATTATCTTGTCCAATTCTATGGTTCATTAAATAAACAACGTCTCTTGGAGGGATGTCTAGAATTTCCAAACACCTACCCAGTGAGACCATTTCATAGAGCAGGATACCAAAGGACCATCTGTCAGAAGAAGAGTTAAGAGAAGAACATATCATGTCATTTGACACTTCAATAACGTGCTTTATATTCAGTCATCTTCATTGCATTATTTAATATTCTCACAGAGGACCTGGACACTCACACATCACTGCTCTGACTGACTGCTCTCCTGCTCAGCACTTCAGGTGCCTGCCACTTCCTCATCTCCATGTCCTCTATTGCCCCCGGTGAATGGGGCTGAGTTCTCCTGCGGTACGCCGAGCCCAATCCCCACAGCTTCGCTGTCAGATCTCTGCCAACCAGGACGCTGTGAGCTGCCACGTTGCCATGGATGCAGCGCTGACTGTGCAGGTACTCCTTGAAGATGTTCAGATAAAGACAGAGCAATAAGAGGGATGCTGGAAATGCAGACATACTGTTTAGGGCCTGGAGCAGTAGAACAATTCAACTTCACAAGGACAATACAGAATACAAAATCTACAAAATATAAACATCAACCAGACTTAACTTTGGTTTATACTGTATTCACACTTTTTTGCAGAATTCCCATATAACCTTAATTTGAAGAGTGATGGTTCTGTTAAGTACTGCTCTAAAAAACTGAGACGTCTGGGGAAAAGTGAGAGATGGACAGAAATAAACTGAGAGACTTTTGCCTGCCACCCAATAATATCACATTAGGATACAGACTGGGAGATAAGCAGAGAGACAGAATGAGGTTTTCCCACAAATACATTATATTGGTCTGTGAAGCAGTGAGAGAGACTGACAGATACATATAAGGACACACAGACAGCAGTTTAACCAACCAGAGCAGAAGCCACTTGTCCTGCCATGGTGAAGACCCTCTTCTCAGTCATGTCACATGAAGCCTCCGAACCCGAGTTATCCTTCAGTGAGAGAGCAGAAGAAAGAAAAGGGAAAAAGTGTGAATGTTTTCTCCTCATGGTTGGATGGTAGCCTTCTGAGTCAGAGTACCAGACCTGTCTTTTATGTTATCTGATATACTGTAGCTCTCTCTGTTGTGTTCATACTCAGCTTCTATACCATTGTGTCAGGCTAGTAGGTGAACATACTGTACCTCACTGAGAGTGACCTCAATCATAAGGTAGCCACGCCCAAAGCATTGGCCGTTTTATCGTCTATTTTACTCTAAATTGAACCATAATTTACTAAATGAACGTCATAGTGTTTGGAAGAAGACTTGAAACTAGTGATTTAGACCATAAACTCATTAGAAAACTGAGATGTCCCTCGTTTTTCCATTAGAGTGCATGGTATCAGTTTTTATTGCAGCCAATGGAGCTGTCCTGCTGGCCTTTACATGCAGGTTTAAGACACTTCACGTGTTCCCGTTGAGCATTTAACCTGCAGTGTGTGATGTAAACTAGTGGAAACCTATCTCTGAAACTCTGAATAGTCTGTCTTTGTTTTGGTAGTTAATAGATTACTGTACCTGTCGACATCTCCACAGGAACCCCAACAGGTCTCTGTGCTGCAGCTCCTCCACAACCATCATCGGGGGCCACTGAACTGAAACCACTCCCAGCAGCGCAGGTATGAAAGGGTGTGGCCCCAGTCCTGACATGAAGGAAGCGAAACCCAAAAAGTGCTGCTTGTCACTGCTGTTTGCTGTTTCTGAGGAAGAGGTTAGATAACAGAAATACATTTTTACTTTTATTTAACCATGGAAATTTCACTGAGTACCTTATATTTACACAGTTACTGTACTGCTGCATATTTTGAGATATATTAAGACTTCTATTTGTTCCCTGTATCTCTCAGGGTTGCTGAGAAGTTTCTGTGTTTGAGATTTGGCTTTGTACAGCTCATTTTACCTTTCAGCACCCTCAGGATGACATCCCTGTTGTCCATGCGGGCTCTGTAGAGGCTGACTGAGTCATTAGGCTTGATGGAGAAGGACAGTGGTAGAGCAGTGACCTGGCTAAAAGCTCCATTATGCCTCTCGGTGGACATCTGTGGTACTGCAGCCAGCTGAGTTGGCCTGACGTTCTGCTGCACCTGTTGAACTGACATTGGCAGCTCTTCGTGTTCCAGTGGGTTTATCCCTGGGGGTGCTGTTGAGAGGGAGATAGATACAGAGCAGAATTATGAATCCATATCAGTAGGTGTTTGTAAAATTGAGTAACAATGA